TGCAGCCATTATGTCAGTCCGTATCATTGCGGGTCTTCCTCTTTTGGAAGACTAGAGATTTATTAATTGTATTGGTCTTCTCAAAGAACAAGCTTTTGGTTTCACTGATTTTTCTATCTTGTTTTTCTGTTTTCCATTTCATTGATTTCTACTCTTATCTTCATTATTTCCTTCATTCTGCTTGCTTTGGGTTTCACTTGTTCTTCTGTTTTCTGTGTATAAGGTAGAAGATTAGATTATTGATTTGAGGCCTTTCTTCTTTTTTAGCGTAAGTATTCAGTGTTATAAATTTCCCTCCAGTCAATGCTTTAACTGTATCCCAATAATTTCAAAAAGTTTTTTTTATTTTTATTTAGTTTGAAATATTTTCTAGTTTCCCTTGGGGCTTTCTTATTGATTCAAAAGTTATTTATAAGTGTATCGTTTAGTTTCCAAGTAATTGGGGGATTTTCTGTATGTCTTTCTGGTTTTTATTTTTAATTTAATTTCCTTATTATAAGGGAACAAATTTTGCATGGTTTTATTTCTTTTCAGTTGTTTTATGTTTGTTGTGGTTTGTATTATGGCCTAAAATATGGTTTGTCCTGGTGAATATTTTCTTGTATTTTAGAGTGTGTATTGTGCTCTTAATGGTGGGCAAATTCTATAAGTATCAGTTCAAATATTTCGATAGTGTTCAGGTCTTCTACATCCTTACTGATTTTCTGTTCTATCTATTCTGTGGGTATATTGTTGAATCTCCAATTTTAATTGTGTATTTGTCTCTATCTCACTTTATTTCTATTGGATTTTGCTTCATGTGTTTTGCAGTTTCATTGTTATGTACATACATATTTAGTTTTTCAGTTTACTTTATGATTTAACCCTTTTATCATTTCGTCATGACCCTCTTTGATAATTGTCTTTATTCAAAAGTTTATTTTCTGATATTCATCTAGGCACTCCAGCTATATTTTGACTAGTGTTTGGTGTATTTTTTATATCCCTTTTTACTTTTAATCTCTCTGTATAATATATATGTATATTTAAAGAAAGTTTCTTGTAGCTTATTAAGAAAATGTTCTGCATTCTACTTTGGTGAGTGGCATCTGGGGTCTTAAAAGTTTCCAAGGGGCCGTCTAAGATGCATCATTTGGTCCCAGTTACCTGGAGTAAAGGAGAATGAAGAACACCAAAGACACAAGGAAAGTATTAGCCCCAGAGACAGAAAGGGCCACATAAACCAGAGACTTCATCAGCCTGAGACAAGAAGAACTAGATGGTGCCCGGCCACCACCAGTGAACATCCTGACAGGGAACACAACAGAGTGTCCCTGATAAAGCAGGAAAAAGGGGGGGGGCAGAACTCAAATTCTAGTAAGAAGACCAAACTTAATGGTCTGACTGAGACTGGAGGAACCCCGGAAACACGGTCCCCGGATTCTCTATCAGCCCAGAACTGAAACAATTTCTGAGGCCAACTCTTCAGACAGGGATTGGACTGGACTGTGGGATATAAAGTGATACTCGTGAGGAGTATGTCTGTTAGCTCTAGTAGATACAAGAGACTAAACGGGCAGCTTCTGTCCGGAGGTGAGATGGGAAGGCAGAGAGGGTTAGGAGCGGTTGAATGGACATGGGGAATTGGGTGGAAAGAAGGAGTGTGCTGTCACAGTATGGGGAGGGCAATCAGGGTCACATAACAATGTACATACAAATTTTTGTATGGGAGACTAACTTGAAATGTAAACTTCATTTAAACTACAACAATAAACAACAACAAAAAGTTTCTTGTAGACAGTATATAGTGGGTCCTTTTTTTTCTAATTCCCAGTATAACAATCTGTAATTTAATTGGTGTGTAATTATTGACATGGTTAGATTTAAATCTACCATAATATGTATTTTTTTCTTTTTTTTTTTTTTTGTTCCTCTGTTAGCTGTTTTCTTTTGGTCTGTATGAATATTTTACTGTTTCATTTAGTTTATCTGTTAGGTTTTGGCTATATTTCTTTTTCTTATTCTTTGAATGCTTGGTCTAGGGATTACAATATATACACATAACCTTTCACTATCCGTTGAGGGTTAACATTTTGCTGCCTCAAATACAATGTCCCTTGTTGATTGCTTTACCACTCCTGCTTTACGTTCTGGTTGTTATATATATTACCTGCACATGCATTGTGAACCCCACCAGGCACTGTTAAAATTTTTGCTTTCAACTGTCATACATATTTTAAAGCACTTCAGAGGAGAAAAATAGTCTATTATATTTACCCAGATATTTTACCATTTCTGTTGGTCTGCCTTTATTCTTAAAGTTCCACATTTCTCTCTGGTATCATTTCTGTTTAGCTAGAACTTCCTTTACCTTTTCTTATACAGAATATCTGATCTCGATGAATTCTCATAGTTTTTCTTTATATGGGGATACCTTTATTTTGCCTTCATTTTTAAAAATATTTTTGCTGGATCTATAATTCTGCAATGACAGTTCTTTTCTTTCAGAACTTCCAAGACGTTCCGTTTCCTGGCCTGCATGATTTCTGATGAAAAATCTACAGGCATTCACATTGTTGTTTCCCTATGTGTAATGTTTTCTGACTACTTTCAAGATTTTCTTCTATCATTGGTTCTTATTTGGGCATTTGGGTTTTCTTTCAGATTATTTTGTTTGGAGTTTGCTGGGCTTCTTGAATCTTTACGTTTATGTCTTTCACAACATTTAGAACATTTTCAGCCTTTATTTTCTCAAAACAAAATTTTTTTTTTTCCATTCCAATGTCTCTCTTGTTTCCTTCTGGGATTCCAATGACATGATTGATGTTAGACCCTTTGATATTGCCCCACAGGTTCCTAAGACTATTTTCATCTTTTCTTTTTCTATTTATAAGGTTGAATAATTTCTAATGATCGGTCATCAGGTTCATTATCTATTTTCTCTGTTCTGCTTCATTCTGCTATTGAGACCATTTAGTAATTTTTAAAAAGTTTTAGGTATTTATGTTTTTAAAAATTATTTTTAGTGGTTTCTGTAGAGTTTGCAATGTAATTTACAGCTAATCTAAGTTCATTTTCAATTAACACTTTACCAAATAACAAGTACCCAAAAACAGAGTATTATCAATTCATCCCTCCTGTCCCTTATGGCATTGCTGTCATACGTTTCGCATATCCATAAGCTATAATCATCTAATAATATTGTTATTGTTTTCAACAAACTGTCATCTGTTAGACCAGTTAAAAGTAAGAAGAAGTAAAAGATTTTATTTTACCTTCATTTCTTCCTTCTCAAATGCTCTTCCTTTCTTTATGTATATCCAAGTTTGTGACGTGTTTCATTTTCATTCTCTCTGAAGAACTCTTCTTTTAACATTTCTTGCAAGGCAGGTCTAGTGGTAACAAATTCCTTCAATTTTTATTTGTCTGAGAATGTCTTTATTGCTCCTTCACTTTTCAGAATAATTTTGTTGGGTACAGAATTCTAGGTTGATGTTTTTCTTCTTTCAGCACTTTAAATATGCGGTCAGTTTTTCAGGTTGAATACCTTAGAGTCATCCTTGTCTCCTTTCTCTTGCTCTGTCTCCAAACCCCACATCCCATCCATCAACAATTTCTGTCAGCTCTGCTTTCTAAATATATCCAAAATCTGACCATTTATCACCACCTCTGCATAACTACATTTGTCTAGGCCTGCATTATGTTTCATCTACTTCGACTCCCTCAATAGCCTCTTTTGGACCCCCTGCTTTCACTTTTTCCTTCATACTATTACTTCTTCACATAACAGATAGATCTCCCTGTTCTCTCTTCTGTTCAGATCCCTCCAACAGCTTCTCTTCAGAGAAAAAGCCAGTTGCCCTTAGTGTCGCCACTAAAGTGCTGTGTGACTGGGCTGTGGCTGTGCCTTTAATCAATCTCCTAACCTCCTCTCTTTCCTCACTCCGCTCCAGCCACAGGACTTTCTTACTTTTCCTCATACATTATGAACATACTCAATTTTCATGCCTCAAACTATTTGCGCTTACTGTCTTCTTCCCTGGACTGCTCTTCCTGTACATATATGAATAAATCATTCCTACATTTCATCAAATACTCTGCTAAAATGCATTTTATCAGAAGCCATTCCAGACCACTCACATCTAAAATTTTCTCCCCACCTCATTTGCAAAGCAGTCTACATATATAGTTGTAGATTTTTGTGTGTGTTTGTTTTTTTCTTTTCTTTTTTTCTTTCTAGTCTTTAACTCTTTATACCCAGGCTTAATTTGAGAGTGGATATTTTCAGCAACTGGCTCTATTGAATTCTTTCAAAATGTTCAACTTTATAGAACGACAACTCTTTTTGTACTGATAAATGCACTGGCGTATATAGTATTTGGAGCCCTGGTGGAGCAGTGGTTAAGAGCTTGGCTGCTAAGTCTCCTAATTATAACAACATATGTAGTTGGCATAAATGATTTGGGAATAAACACACCTCAAACTTGGTAAAGCTGATGTCCTGACCATACAGAACTACCTGCGTTTGTATTTTCTGAAACGTACTTCCTTAGTTTTATCAGTGCCGCTCCTTGTTTTCCCCTCTTGTCTGCTTGGTGATGTGCATCACTCTTTTAGGATGCTTTCTTTCACTTCCTCTTATGTAACTTTTCCATTCCTGAACATATCTCTGTTAAAACCTTATTTCGCTTTACTGCAATTTGTTGTCTATTTGTCTGCTTCCCTTAATAGAACTCTGAGTTCCTTGAGGAAAAGAACTTTGTTGGACTCAGCTGCTTATCCTCTGTACCCAACACAGTGTCTAAAGGTGCTTCATAAATGTTTCTACAATGAAGGAATAATGTTTTACATACGAAAAAAAACAGAAGTTAAGAGGTGATAAGATACATGTCAACAATTATGCTGCTACTTAGCAGCAGACTTCGACAAGACCCATGTTTCCTGCCTGCTCGCGTCCAATGTTCTACCATTAAATGAATTTTGATTTTTAACAAAAGGACTTTTTGTCTTTTCACTTACAGACATTGATGATGTCAAGAAGTATAAACCAGGTTACTTGGAAGCTACGCTTGATTGGTTTAGACATTATAAAGTGCCAGAAGGAAAACCAGAAAACAAATTTGCTTTTAATGGGGAATTCAAAAACAAGGTGAGTTTGATAATTTTTATTTTAAAATGTACCTACCAATACATGTACAATACTTAACCTCAATTTTAAGGATTTCTTATGTGAATACTCGTATGTGTTGTTGTTAGGTGCCGTCCAGTCGGTTCTAACTCATAGCAACCCTGTGTATAACAGAATGAAACACTGCCCGGTCCTGCGCCATCCTCACAATCGTTGTTTTACTTGATTGAGCTCACTGTTGTAGCCACTGTGTGAATCCATCTCGTTGAGGGTCTTCCTCTTTTTCATTGACGCTCTGCTTTACCAAGACTGATGTCCTTCTCCAGGGACTGGTCCCTCCTGATAACCTGTCCAAAGTGTGTGAGACGAAGTCGCACCATCTTCCTTCTAAGGAGCATTCTGGCTGTCCATCTTCCAAGAGAGATTCGTTCCTTCTTCTCACAATCCATGGTATATTCAATATTCTTCACCAACACCATAATTCAAAGGCATCAATTCTTCTTCAGTCTTCCTTATTCATTGTCCAGCTTTCACATGCATCTGAGGCCATTGAAAACACCATGGCTTGGGTCAGGTGCACCTTAGTCCTTAAAGTGATATCTTTGCTTTTTAACACTTTAAAGAGATCTTTTGCAGCAGATTTGCCCAATGCAAATTTGATTTCTTGACTGCTGCTTCCATAAACATTGATTGTGGATCCAAGTAAAATGAAGTCCTTGACAACTTCAGTATTTTCTCCATTTATCATGATTTTACCTATTGGTGGTCCAGTTGTGAGGATCTTTGTTTTCTTCATGTTAAGGTGTAATCGATACTGAAGAGCATAGTCTTTGATCTTCATCAGTAAGTGCTTCAAGTCTTCTTCACTATCAGTAAGTAAGGTTGTGTCATCTGCATATCGCAGATTGGTAATGAGTCTTCCTCCAGTCCTGATGCCCCTTTCTTCTTCATATAGTCCAGCTTCTCGGGTTATTTGCTCAGCATGCAGACTGAATAAGTATGGTGAAAAGATACAGCCCTGACACACACTTTTCTTGACTTTAACCCATGCACTATCCCCTTGTTCTGTTCAAAGGACTGCCTCTTGGTCTAAGTATGGATTCCTCATGAGCACAATTAAGTGTTCTGGAATTCCTATTCTTCACAATGTTATCCATCATTTGTTATGATCTGTACAGTTGAATGCCTTTGCATAGTCAGTAAAATACAGGTAAACATCTTTCTGGTATTCTCAGCTTTCAGCCAGGATCCATCTGACATCAGCAGTGATGTCCCTTGTTCCACTTCCTCTTCTGAATCTGGCTTGAATTTCTGGCAGTTCCCTGTCGATGAACTGCTGCAGCTGCTTTTGAATGATCTTCAGCAGAATTTTACTTGTGTGTGATACCAGTGATACTGTTTGATAAGTTTTGCATTCTATTCGATCACCTTTCTTTGGAATGGATACAAATATGGATCTCTTCCAGTTGGTCGGCCAGGTAGCTGTCTTCCAAATTTCTTGGCATAGATAAGTGAGCACTTCCAGCACTGCATCCATTTGTTGAAACATCTCAATTGGTATTCCTTCAATTCCTGAAGTCTTGTTTTTCACCAATGCCTTCAGTGCAGCTTGGATCTCTTCCTTCAGTACCATTGGTTCTTGATCATATGCTGCCTCCTGAAATGGTTGAATGTCATTCAGTTCTTTTTGGTACAGTGACTCTGTATTCCTTCCGTCTTCTTTTGATGCTTCCTGTGTCGTTCAGTATTTTGCCTATAGAATCCTTCAATATTGCAGCTCAAGGCTTGAATTTTTTCTTTAGTTCTTTCAGCTTGAGAAATGCTCAGTGTGTTCTTCCGTTTTGGTCTTCTAAGTCCAGGCTTTGCGCATTTTGTTGTAATACTTTACTTTGTCTTCTTGAGCAGCCCTTTAAAGAGCAGCCTTTTAAACTCGTCTGCTCAGTTCTTTTACTTCATCATTTCTTCCTTTCAGTTTAGCTACTGTACATTCAAGAGTAACTTTCAGAGTCTCTTCTGACATCCATTTTGGTCTTTTCTTCCTTTCCTGTCTTTTTAATGACTTCTTGCTTTTTTTGTGTATGATATCATTCCACAAATCTGGTTTTCAGTCATTAATGTTCAGTGCATCAAATCTATTCTTGAGATGGTCTCTAAATTCTGGTGGCATATACTCAAGGTCATACTTTGGCTCTCGTGGATCTATTTTATTTTTCTTCAACTTCAACTTGAAATTGCACAGGAGCAATTGATGGTCTGTTCTGCAGTTGGCCCCTGGCCTTGTTCTGACTGACGATACTGAGCTTTTCTATCGTCTCTTTCCACAGATGTAGTCAATTTGATTCCTGTGTATTCCATCTGGTGAGGTCCATGTGTATAATCACCATTTATGTTTTTGAAAAAAGGTACTTGCAATAAGGAAGTCGTTGGTCTTGCAAAATTCTATCATGCTATCTCCAATGTTGTTTCTATCACCAAGGCCGTATTTTCATAGTACTAGTCCTTCTTTGTTTCCAACTTTCGAATTCCGTTCACCAGTAATTATCAATGCATCTTGATTGCATGTTTGATCAATTTCAGACTGCAGAAGTTGGTAAAAATCTTCAGTGTCTTCATTTTCACCTTGGACTTAGTGGTTGGTATGTAAATTTGAATAATAGTTGTATTAACTGGTCTTCCTTATAGGCATATGGATATTATCCTATCATTGACAGCGTTGTATTTCAGAATAGATCTTGAAATGTTCTTTTCGACTATGAATGCAACGACTTCCTCTTCAATTTGCATTCCCAGAGTAGTAGACCATATGATTGTCTGATTAAAAATGGCCAATACCAGTCCATTTCAGCTCACTAACGCCTAGGATATCGATCTTTATGCATTCCATTTCATTTTTGATGACTTCCAATTTTCCTAGATTTCATACTTCGTACTTCCCAAGTTCCGATTATTAGTGGATGTTTGCAGCTGTTTCTTCTTATTTTGAGTCATGCCGCATCATCAAATGAAGGTCCTGATAGCTTGACTCCATCCACATCATTAAGATTGATTCTATTTTGAGGAGACACCTCTTCCCCAGTCATCTTTTGAGAGCCTTCCAACCTGAGAGACTCATCTTCCGGTGCTATATCAGTGTTCCACTGCTATTTATAAGGTTTTCGCTGGCCAACTTTTTCAAAAGTAACACTGCCAGGTCGTTCTTCCTAGTGTGTCTTAGTGTGGAAGCTCAGCTGAAACCTGTCCACCAAGTGTGACCCTGCTGGTCTTTAAAATACCAGCGCCAAAGCTTCCAGTAACACAGCTACACCAAAGCCACCACAGTATGACAAACTGACAGATACATGGTGGATTTGAATGTAGAGTGATTAAAAAGTATTTTGACTAACCTTCATAGTTAAGGGTATTATTTAAATATTTTTTCAGGAAATCTCTCTAAGTGAATCAATGAGGCTGAAAATAATCTCTATCTATTTATCTATCTCCTTTATTTCAGAAAATGAAAGAAATCCATGATCAGTCTAACTTTGCAAATTATATATAAAGAAAAATCTTTCATTTACTATTTTGGGAAGGGAAAAGTTACTTACTCTTAGTGTAAATACATAGGGACTTCCTTCCTAAGTGTTTATTCTATCATGACTAAAATAAGCTGCTTTACAATTAAGAAAGCAATTGAATTGTCTTACTGTCATAGAATTTTTCTGTTAGAATGTCACAGAAATCATCATAAAGTGTTTCTAATTTGTCATAAATGGAGTAGAAAATAGCCTAAACAAGTCTAAAACATGGAATATTTTTTAAAGTTATTACCACTAAGTAAATTGCACATTGTAAACCAACATTAAGTGGGTACTAAAAAGTAAAATATGTTTTATAAGTAAAGTAAGGTGTGTTAATGAAAACTTAAAATTCACAGTAAATATTGTGCTATATAAGAATTTATTGTTGGACTCAGTATTTTTAAAAAGACACATTAACAAAACCCTTAATATCTTGAGGTGTTTATTTAGGATTATTAAATGTGAATATAAAACTATTACTTGAAACTGGATCTATAGTATTGTAAATGTTATATTTATATAGGTGTAGCATTCTGGGGGAAAATCTTAAGAATTTTTCCTCTTTGGATTAATAATGTAAGTTTTCCTTAGAAAATATTTGAAAATGTTAGACTATGCAATTAGAGTGTTTTTAATTTTGATGCTGATGTTAGATGCTTACTCATAAGCCAGGTACTAGGCTAAGCATTTTACCTACAGCATTTTATTTATCCTTTCAACAACTCTGTGATTCATATTCCAAAAAAACCGTTGCCATCAATTTGATTCTGACTCATAGCTACCCTATAGGACAGAGTAGAACTGCCCCATAGAGTTTCTAAGAAGTACCTGGTGGATTTGAACTGCTGACCTTTTGGTTAGCAGCCGTAGCACTTAACCACTACACCACCAGAGTTTCCATGATTCATATTAGAAGTCGGTAAACTTTTTTCTGTAAAGGGCTAAATAGTAAATATTTTAGCCTCTGAGGCCATATGTCTTCACTAAACCCATAGATACCATACATACGTGGTGGTTTCAGTAAAACTATATAAAAACATGCAGTGGTCTGGACTTAGCACACAGGCCCAAGTTTGTCAACCCCTGATTGAGATTGTCCCTATTATATTCCATTTTTTAAAACATTTTATTGTGTTTTAAGTGAAGTTTACAAGTAAATTATGTTCCCATTTAACAATTTTTATACAAATTGTTCTGTCACATTGGTTACAATTTTCACAGCGTGTCTGCATACTTACTATTTCCATTTGATTTTTCTGTTTCCATTGCTCTAGCTTGTCTTCCCTTCCTTGCTTTCTCATCTTTGCTTACGGGTAAATGTTGACTGTTTGGTCTCATATAGTTGATTGTTTAAGGGAGCACATTACTCACAGGTGTTATTGTTTATTTTATAAGACAATCTAATATTTAGCTGAAAGATGACCTCCAGAAATAGCTTCAATTCCAAGTTCAAAGGGTATCTTAGGGCAATAGTCTCAGGGGTTCCTCTAGTCTCTATTGGTACAGTAGGTCTGGCCTTTTTCAGGAATTTGAATTTTGTTCTGCATTTTTCTCTCATTCTGTCTGAGACCTTCTATTGCATCCCTGGTCAGAAGGGTTGGTGGTGGTAGTTGGGCACCATCTAGTTCTTCTGGCCTCAAGTTAGAAGAGGTCGTGGTTCACATGGGCTAGTAGTCATGTGGACTATGTAGTTTCTTCTTTGAGTCTTTGTTTTCCTTCATTCGCTTTTGCTCCAGACGAGTAGAGACCAATAGTTGTATCTTAGATGGCAGCTCACAAGCTTTTAAGACGCCAGTCGCTACTCACCAAATTAGGATGTAGAACATTATCTTTATGAACTATGATATGCCAACTGACGCATGAGACCATGTTGTCCCACGAGACTTTGGTCCTAAGCCTTTTAACCCAGTAAACCAATCCTACAAGTTGTACATACATGTGTAGAAAGTCTCTGTAACTGTGGCCCCTGTGTGCTTTATTTTATATACATATGGATATATATGCAGGACACACAAACGTGTATATACAGATGCCTTCAGATACACCTATACATGCACATACATTTGCTCGCATATCCCTTCCTATACACATATATGCACACATAGCTACCTATGTAACCATACACATTATTTTTTGGTTGTTATTACTGTTGTTGCAAAATTGTATATGCTATAGCATTTACTGAAATTGTCCCTTTTTCTTGTGTACTTCTTTATGTCTTCATTTACCTTGGTCAGTTGTGCAGATTTCACCCATATTTGGTATTGTCTTTCTCATCATCAAAAATGACAAGTGTCTACTATCTAAAAAAGTGATTCCCCCTCCTTTCTGTTTCCATCCCTGGTAGAACTTTGGTTTCTATATGTATATGTATATCTAGTCTTGAGTTTTTATAATAGTGCTTCTTTATTTTGGTGATAGATTTACTGATTTTCTTTGTGATTACTCTGAAATTTACCTTTATCTTCCTAAGTTTAAAACAGTCTGTTATATCTTGATATCATCCTGACTTCCTCTCCATGTGGAAGTTCTATACTACACCATTTATTCCCATTTTTTGTTTTGAAGTTATCGTCATTTACAGCTTGACATCTCTGGCTCCCCATTACCAGTTTTGCAGCTTTATTTTACTTTTGTGAAGTCTTTATCTGGGTTGGTGTCTGGATGATGCTGTTGTGTGTCTTAATCTCAGGTTGTTGTCTGATATCTTTGGTTCTATGCCCAAAGGACTCCCTTTAATATTTCTTGTATGGCTGGTCTGGTTTTTACAAATTCCCTTAATTTCTGGTTGTCTGGGAATGTCCTCGTTTTGCCATTATATTTGAAAGACAGTTTTGCTGGATGTAGGATTCTTAGTTGGTAGTTCTTTTCTTTCAGGTTTTGTATATATCATCCTATTGCCTTCTTGCTTGCTTGATTTCTGATGAGAAATCAGCACTTAGTCTTATTGGTGTCCCTTCGTAAATGATATTTCGTTTTTTCATGAGCTACTCTCAGAATTCTCTTTGTCTTTGGTTTTGGAAAGTTTGATTATGATATGTCTTGGTGAATTTCTTTTGAGGTGTATCCTTTGTGTGGTTTGTTGAGCTTATTGGATGGAAAACTTTTCATCTTTCATGATGTTTGAGAATTTTTCTGCCAATGTATTGTCAAAAATTCTCTCTATACTTTTTTTCTCTCCTCTTCTGGAATTCCTACTATGTATAAATTATCCCTCCTGATCGTTTCCCACATAACTGTTAGGCTTTCTTCATTTTTCACCATTCTTTTTTCTGGTTGTTCCTCAAACTAATTTGTACCAAGGAATTTCTCCTCTGTTTTACTCATTCTTTCTTCCATTGATTCAATTCTACTGTGTCATTCCATTAAGTTATCTATTTCTGGCATTTTATCATTAACTTTCTGCATTTCTAGTTATTGTTTTTGTGTGGTTTCTAATTGTGTATTTAGTTTGTCATTTTGTTCTTGAATTGTTTTCCTGAATTCTTCTAGGGTTTTGTCTGTGTTTTCCTTAATTTCTTTGTGGAGCCTAAATATAATGTCTTTTGAATTCTTTATCAGGTTGTTCCATTACCATTTCTTACATATGAAGGTTTTCAGCCCCTTTGTTTTGCTCACTTATTTGAGCCATCTTATCCTGTTTGTTCATATGACTTGTTATTGTCTGCTGTCTCTGAGGCATTAAGGTGTTACTCTGTTTATTTATATGTTTCTTTATTGGTATGTTTGTTTGTTTTGTCCTGATTTTTTGTTTGTTTTGTTTTGATATATCAGGATCTTTGTTCCTTCTGGTTCTCTTTAGAATGTCTTTTTTCCTTTGTATTATTTTATGTGTTATTATTTTGCGGTTCTGGTCTGTGTGTGACTTTGGTGGAGTCTGTTGGCTGGACATGATTTCCTCTCACTAGTGGGTATGGTGGGTGTCACCCACATGTGAGTCCTCTGTGGTTAGGCTTGTATGTCTTCCTTTACTGGATTGAGTGGAGGTGGGAGAGCAGATTCTTTCCCTGATATGGAATGACAAATGTTGCATCGTCAGGATCCCTCCACAGCCCTTGTGAGACCATAAGGTCCTTTTAGAACTGGTGTTACCAGTTAGTGTCTGCTCTGAAGGTCAGGGGAGGATGTCTCCGTAGCCGTTGTGAGGGAGTGCTACCTGAATGGACAGGCTAGGCCCTCTGTGTGTGCATGAATTTACGTCTCAGTAAGTGGTGGGGGATCAGGGCTTTCAGTGCATGTGCAGTTGGCCTGCAGAAGCTGTTTGGGTGTGGGATGTGTGACGTTGCAGCCAGGCAGACATTAGATGAGGGTACTAGGATCTTCTGCTCATCATTTGGCAGGGGTATAGCTTGTGCCTATCGGGATGTGGCAGGCATTGCTGATGAGGTGATGTGCCTGTCTGGCTGATCCCTGGGCTTGGGTGCAGGGAGTGTTCTCACCAGTTACCAGGTTATGGGCAATGTGTGTGTGTGCCGCCAGTTGCCCGGTGATTGGGGCAGGGGTATATGGGTCACCGGGTGGGTGGCACGGGAGCATTTGCTGCCATTCACCAGGTTGGCAGCACAGGAGTGCTTGTTGCCAATCACTGGGTGGGGCAGGGAGGTGGGGGGGACTCACACCACTAGACTGGTGGCCCATGAGTGTGTGCTACCCATCACCAGTCTGGTTGTGCAGGAGTGTGCCACCAATCACTGGGTGGGCGGGATGGGGGGCAAGTGGGAGTGACTGGGCACACACCACCAGCTGCAGATCTGGTGGCTTGGGAGTCCGCACCACCTGTCACCAGGGGAGTGGGGCAGTGGGGAGGGCGCTTGCCAGTGTTCGCCAGTCCGGCAGTGCTGGAGTGCATGCTGCCCCAGTGGGCAGGGTAGTTGAGGGGGCAGGCAGGGCAGGTACATGCCATCAGTCGCCAGTCTGGTGGCACAGGAGTGTACACCACAGATTGCCTGATAGGGGCGGATGGCAGCAGGGGGTGTTGCCGTTTGTTGCCAGACAGGCAGGGGTACACACCATTGGTCACCTGGAGGGCTGGGAGGTAGGAAGGGAGCATGCTCCTCTGCTGGCGTGGAAACTAGGGCACTCCCTGTAGAGTGCAGCTGGCGATCAAGATCGGGCCCCTACCAAATGCATGGGGAAGGCCTGTCTGGATTCCTGTCAGGTGGGGGATCTCCAGTTGCCACTCTATGGATCCTATGCTCCACGGGTGCCACCCACTCAAATGATCAAGGACCACTGCTGGTGAGTAGTTCTGTCCCTAGTTCCTGGTTTCCTACCTGCTCTGTTGTTGCCTGGATCCTTGGAGCTCTTGCCTGCCTTCCTGCACTTTCCCTTCCTTAGATCCAGTTCATCTTCTCTCACCTTGCTTCACTCCAGGTTCATCTACATAGTATCTCTGCCTCCCATTGGGGATTCTGTGCAGTTGCCTTCCTGTGCGCTTCACCCAGAAACGCTGCTTGCTTTGTCTCAAGATGGCCATGCTGCATGAAGCTGGCTGGCAGGGTGCCTACAATCCGTAAATCTCCTTGTCGGCTGTTTTCATTCAGTTTGTCCTTCCGTTCGGTACGCGATCTAATTCTTCATCCTTCCATTTGCTGCTCAGGGTTCTCAGATTGTCACCGGTATCTGTTTCACTTGGTTTCTCGGGTCTTTGCTGTAGGGAAACGTCATGGTGTGTTTGATTAAGCCGTCATCTTCAAGATTATCCTCATCACATTTCATTTTATAGATGAAGAAACTGAGGTTTAGTGAAATTAAGTAACTTGCCCAAAATCACACAACTGATAAGTGAGGAAGCCAGAATTTATGCTTGGGTTTGCCTGACTTCAGAGCTCTTGCCCTTCACAATTAGGCTGTCATAGCTGTAACAGTTCTGTGTTAGTAATAGAATTAACAGACCGAAGAAATTAACAATATGATTGGTGTATCTTTTTTTTTTTTTTTTTTGGTTTGTAACTAGGCTTTTGCTCTTGAAGTTATTAAATCTACTCATGAATGTTGGAAAGCATTGCTTATGAAGAAGTGTGATAGAGGGACTATAAATTGGTAAGAATTTGTCTTTTCTATGTATTTTATTATTAATTGGTAATAAACAGCCATATAGTATCACTGAGATCTGATGTTTTAAGAGAAATGTAATTTTTTTTTTTCCATTTAAAAAATACCTATGAAACTCCTTTTCAAAGGGTATTACTGAACACTGGGCATTATGATGCTAGGAGTTAAGAACAGAGAATGAAAAACTAGAAATGGTCCTATTTCTCAAGGGACTGACAGGTAAAGAGACATTTAATTATAATACATTGTGGTAAGTGCAAAGGTAGAATAAAGAACGTTAGGGATTTTCAACAGGCAAACATTTGGTTATTTTATCTAACTATCGCATTATTTCCTGATAAGAACAGTAAAAGCCACCTTATCCAGCATGATCATTACTTGATTGATTGAAATGAATCAAGCAATATAACATACATAACACAAACATTTTATTTTAATTTAAATGTACATTTATTTGCCAATCTTTGGATGTGTGGGTTCACCACTGCAGTTTCACATTATCTTTCTTTATAAAAACCATACATAACAGTGCATCATCTAGGATTTCCGGTTTCAATTTCAGCACTGGATCAGGAGTTTAAAGGTCCTGTAATATGACTTAAAACCCTTGCAGATTGTTTTTGTAATCTTTTACAGTTTTCTTAGCCACACATAATATGACACCAAGTTTTTATAGTGATTCACCTTTATTGGGGCCTTTTAGAGCATTCTACTTAGTGTTCATAGAGCATTTCTCTTCCATAAGCCTTTCATTGGTGTACATAATTACTACTTAAAATATGAAATTATAGTAACAATTACAACTGATATAAACAGGTTTGGGAACAAAAACAACTGATTCTTAGTAAGCCTAACTGTTGGGAGCAAAAGCACATAGTCATTCTGTAGAGTATTACCCAACTTCATCACCCATTCCCAGAATCAGGAGAAATTCCTTATACTTTTTCAACAAATAGTGATCACGGGTCTACTGCCAGGTGCTGTGCAGTAAATACTAAGTATACTGCTGTGAATACAATTATTAGTCTCCCTGCCCTCTCAGAGGAGCCCTGGTGGTGTAGTAGTTAAGAGCTACGGCTGCTAACCAAAGGTTGGCAGTTCGAATCCACCAGCTGCTCCTCCTTGGAAACCCTATGGGGTTTGCCCTCTCAGAGCATGAAGTCTGGGATTTAAGAGAGACATTAAAGAAATAATTAGACTAAAGTAATAATATGGAATAAAGAATTAATCTTATCTTTTTATCCAAACCGTGGAGAAGGCTCATCTTGCCTACAGCATGAATGCTTGGGCATCATACCTTCAGATTCCATTTATCTTGCAAGCTGAAGAAACACTGTTAAGTCATTTCCCTTTGCTCCCCTTTTTCTACCTCTTGTGAAGATCACTATCTTTTTGTTAGGATAGTCTTAAAATTTTTAATTTTTTTAAATTTAAATAATACAATTTATTAGCAACAAGGCTGGATAATTACATGTCCTCTAGTCCTGGCTGCCCTCGTAACTGGCAGACTGAGCATTCTTTATGGTCTGGAAGTCAGATATTAGTGGAGGGAGCCCCTCCAAAAAGAAGGGTTCTCTATCTGAGGAAACATTTGCTTGCTGTTTGCTTTCTTACTTATTTCCTTCCCAGTCATACCTTCTGAAAATCATATGCTAGTCTTGATGGTACTTGAGTCCTTGAGTCCCAGGTTGTTTCAGCTACACAGCTAGAGACCATCTCTTTGGTTAATTTATATACAGCCTGATACCCTTCCTTCTTGATGATTCTTACTCTCTTTACTCTGAGGATAACTTTATTTCTAAGCTCTGTAGTCATTTTGCTATAGCCTATTAGGTAATGATTTAGGATTATATTACAGTAAGAGTTGACATTTATTGACCTCTATACTATGTTCCATTTGAAACCACCAGTGGCTCCAAGGGAGAAAGATGTGGCAATCTGCTTCTGTAAAGATTTACAGCCTTGGTAACCCTATGGGGTCACTATGAGTCAGAATTTGTTTTGGTTTTACTATGTTCCAGACACTGTTCTGAGTGTTTTTATGTATTATCAATTAACACTCGCAAAAGCTCTATGTCTTAGTTATCTAGTGCTGCTATAACAGAATTACCACAAGTTGGATGGCTTTAACAAAGAGAAATTTATTTCCTCACGGTAAAGTAGGCTAAAAGTCCAAATTCAGGGTGTCAGCTCCAGGGCAGAGATTTCTTTCTCTGTTGACTCTGGAAGAAGGTCCTTCTCATCAGTCTTCCCCTAGACTAGGGGCTTCTTTGCGCAGGAACCCGAGGTCCAGAGGATGCGCCCTTCTCCCAGCACTGCTTTCTTGGTGGTATGAGGTCCCCCCTCTCTCTGCTCTCTTCTCTCTTTTATATCCCAAAAGAAACCAGTTCAAGACACAGTCCATTCCCTTAGATTGAGTCCTGCCTTGTCAACACAATTGCTGCCCATCCCTCCTCATTAACGTCACAGAGGCAGAATTTACAACACATAGGAAAATCACATCAGATGACAAAACGGTGGACAATCACATAATACTGGGAATCATGGCCCAGCCAAATTGATACACACATTTTTGGGGGACACAGTTCAATCCATGGCACCCTATAAGATATGTATCGTGGTTATCTCCATTTTACATTAGGAATTTCAGGCACAGAGAACTTAAGTGACCTGTCATAGTGAGTGATGGAGCTAGGATTTAAACCCAGATTCTAGAACCTGATCTCTTAACAGATATACTCTACAATTTCTTCTACATTAAAAAAAAAATACAACAAAATAATATTTAAGTTAAGAATTTTCAGGATATAAATTTAAGGATGTGCATCTAGCTATTATTTTTAAATGTAATTTGGGTTTATTGTGTACAAACAGTTTCGATATTGCTGATCCTTTATTGTGCTGTCATTTCTGCTTATTTTCGTCAGCAAGGTTGTATATAGGTCTATATAACATTTATAAGTTTAGAACAAAATATTTTAGCACCTTATTATAAAAAGGAAAGCAATGCATTCTTTTTAGCAATGATTTTTAATCTCCTTTATGATAGATGCATCAGCTTAGTCATCCCTCCATTAAGTGATTCTACTGCTCTTTCTCTTATAGGCTGTAGTCAGAGTTTGAGAGCTAAAATAAAATAAACCTTAGAGATCATAAACTACACGGTTCAAAATTATATTCCCAGCATCTTGGAAAGTACCTGGCATGTAGTATAATTTTTTACTCAATAAATAAGCCTAAAATCACAAACTAGATAGTAGACAATTGTTAACTTTGGTAAAAGTAAAGACAGCACTCCATATAGGGAAAGTCAGCACAACTTGACCAAGGCAAAGCCGTAGAAGCTTCCTAGACACATCCCAAACATCTTGAGGGACTGAGTTACTGGGGCTGAGGATTGGGGACCATTGTCTCAGGGGACATCTAGGTCAGTTGGCATAAAACAGTTCATAAAGAAAATGTTCTACATCCTACTTTGATGAGTAGTGTCTGGGGTCTTAAAAGCTTGTGAGCAGCCATCTAAAATACATCTATTGGTCCCATCACATTTGGAGCAAAGGAGAATGAAGAAAACCAAAGATGCAAGGAAAGTATCAGTCCAAAGGACTAATAAATCACATGAACCACAGCCTCCACCAGCCTGAGCCGAGAAGAAATAGATGGTGCCCAGCTACCACTACTGACCATTCTGACAGGAATCACAATAGATGGTTCTGGACAGAGTGGGAGAAAAATGTAGAACAAAATTCAAATTCACGAAAAAAAGACCAGACTTGTTGGTCTAACAGAGACTGGAGGGACCCCCGAAACTATGGCCCCTGGACACTCTGCTAACTCAGAATTGAAGCCACTCCCAAAGTCCACCTTTTCAGCCAAAGATTAGACAGGCCTATAAAACAACCAATAACACACGTGAGGAATGTGCCTCTTACTTCAATCAAGTATAAGAGACCTAATGGGCAACACTTGCCCAAAAGCAAAGGCGAGAAGGCAGGAAAGGACTGGAAACCTGGATGAATGGACACGGGGAACCCAGGGTGTAAAGGGAAAGGGGGAAAGTACTGACACATTGTAGTGATTGCAACCAACGTCACACAACAATTTCTGTATAAATTTTTGAATGAGAAACTAATTTGTACTGTAAACTTTTACCTAAAACATAATAAATAAACCTAATTAATTTTTAAATAGTCAATTGTACATGAGGTCCAGCTCAGAGAAGATTAAAATGTTTATTTGTAACTTACCTTTTATTATATTTTCAAACATTTAAAGTTCAAATCACTTCATTAAATCCCAGGGAAAGTGTGTATATACATAAAGTGCATATATCTAGATTGTAAGAACATATGTATCTTCAACCTAGATTATGTATATGTGTTGTTGACTAAAAGAATCTTATTGAGGAAGGTGACACTGTTTGTAGGCATTAAAATGGTAGTATAAGAGCTTATTGGAAAAATAATCAAGGGGGTTTGTAATCTTTCCTCTTTTATATTGGTATATCATGTGCAAGTCTCCTAATTCATTTGTAGATACCGTCCCATTTTATTCTTGATATAGTCGTACTGGAGCCCTGGTGGTACACTGGTTAAGAGCTCAGCTGCTAACCAGAAGGTCAGCAGTTCAAATCCACCAGCCGCTCCTTGGAAACCCTATGGGGCAGTTCTACTCTGTCCTATAGGATCACTGTGAGTTGGAATCGACTTGTGTCTTAGTCATCTAGTGCTGCTACAACAGAAATACCACAAGTGGATGGTTTTAATGAAGAGAAGTTTATTTCCTCACAGTTAAAGTAGGCTAAAATTCCAAATTCAGGGCGTCACCTCCAGGGGAAGGCTTTTTCTCTCTGTCGGCCTTCTTCTCTTCAGTGTTCCCCCGGACTAGGAGCTTCTCTGCGCAGGGACCCTGGTCCAAAGGTTGAGCTCTGCTCCCAGCACTGCTTTCTTGATGGTATGAGGTCCCACTGTCTCACTGCTCACTTTTGTTTTTTACATCTCAAGAGATTGCCTCAGGACACAATCCAGTCTTGTAGATCAGGTCCTGCCTTACTAATACAACTGCCACCCATCCTCCCTTGTTAACATCACAGAGGCAGGTTTACAACATACAGGAAAATCACACAGTACCAGGAATCATGGCCTAGCCAAATTGATACACACATTTTGGGGGGGACATAATTCAAACCATGACGACTTAACAGCAAGGGGTTTGGTTTTTGGTTTTTTATAGTCATTTTTATAATTTGTCCAAGGTGAAAAATAACAAAACCGTTTGACTTTTCTAGGTTTCCACTAGTTACTTGTCAAGATATTTTATTGGAGATATTAAAAAAAACTTTTTCATTGTTTTTAAAATTTACAGTGCTTGTTTTAATATTGTCTCACTTTTCTAATATTTCTGTTGATGTCTTTGCTTTGTTTGTAGTCATAGACGATTACTTCAGAAATAGGGTTATCGGATTTAGCAGCTAAAAATACAGGACACCCAGCTAAATTAAAATTTCAGGACAATGTTTTAAATGTAAGTATGTCCCATGCAATATTTGGGACTAAAAAAATAATTTGTTTATCTGAAATTCAAATTCAACTGGATGATCTGTATTTTATCTGGCAACCCTATTTAGAGAAGGCCTTCCTGCTCTCTCATCATCATTTTCCCAGAATTTCCAAGGAAAATTTTACTTTGGTTTAGGTTTTAATGTTAAAATAACTGTATATAGCATATTTAGTATATATATCATGCCTTCTTCAGAGGACTAGCATTTGAGACTCTGCAAGAGCTAATTATTTGTCTAGTTCTTTTAAATATATTTTTGACTATTAAGGAAATATCTGACTTACAATGCTCTGTACTTTTTCAATTTTAGGTTCCTTAAACATGGGTTGTGAAAAGAGAATATGAAAAGTTATAGTCTTAAAGACGATAATGCCAACTTTCATCAGATTTTATTCATGCCCAAAATGAACATAAACCCCATATTTTGAGTCTACATAGAAACTGTATTACTTACTATAATTGCTATATACACAATGTCTAATTACAAACAGATATATTTGAAAAGACAAATAACTAAGTAGAGATATTTTTTATCATAGATATCTCAACATTTTTTACAAATCCATTATGAAATTTGGTAATGTATATTTCTTAGATTCACTTGGGGGAATGTATGTGTGTGTGTGTGTGTGTGTGTGTGTGTGTGTTTTGCTTATATTTATCTCCTTTAGGGATCTGCTAATCAATTTAAAAAAAAAAAATAAATTGGCTTTAACTTCCTTATCCCCTCTTTTCTTTATCTTAATCTGCTGATTTCTTTGATGAAATGGGAAAACAAAACAAAACAAAAAAACAGTCTTACATGTTTGAGAGGATTGATGCCTTTGCTTTACTCTAGGAAATGGTAAATATGTAATAAATATGTAATGGGTGGCATGCTTGTAGAGATACAAGAAAGGCATTTGACTTTATAGAGCCTTTACTAATCAGGGAAGGAACTATTGTTCTTATGCCTGCTGAATTTCCCTGCTTTTAAGAAATTTTCATTTTCATAGTTTCTTTTCACCACTTTTAGCTCTAATCTCCCATACCTGTCTGAGACAGATTCCACAATATTGGCCATCTCCAATGTTTGTCACTTCACTTTGCCAGAAAATTCCTCCCTATAGCCATCATTCTGTGTTAAGTTTAGTTCCTTTTTTCTTCAACAAAGGTGAAGTTGTAATTGTAATATTGCTTTTTTATATATAACTGGTGATTATTAGGAGTTGTATAATATCATTAAAGTTTTTCATTTTTAATTCTGGAGAGTGCAGTACTGTGGAGCACTCTATGTTTGCAGCTTTGTCTGAGAGAATATCCTTGTTTATATTCTTTCAGTTCCTGGTTCACTAGCTGGAATTATGCAGTCAATGCAGAGTATTTGGAGTTGGTTTTCTTTCTTGGTAATTGCTCCTATTTTATCCTGTTTAATAATAGTATTCTCTTTTCCTCTTCAGCACAAACGTGCAGATACGTGATAGCCCTTTCCGTTGCACTGAAGAGGAAGCCAGATCATTAGTTGAATTGGTAAGGGGTAAATGGCCAAGGCGTCCTTTAATCTTACAAATATCATGAGGAAATGTGTCAAGTCTTTTTGGGAAGCATGAAGTTAAACATATAATATTAAAATCTTTTTTTTTTTTTTAATCCAGGGAATTTAAATCAAAAACCTTAAACCTTTTAGTTGAATTTTTTAATTTTATTTTTGAAAACACATTGTTTAACTGATATTATATGATGCTATTTTTCTTAACATCACTAAGTCATTGTTGTTTATATGCATTTGCTCTCCTCTGTGCTGTCGTGTTCCCATGAATTATCTACCGTCTAGGTCTGAATTCAGACTGACTCCTGGTACAAATGCATTTTGACCCCAGAAAAATGAAATGCATAAGGCTTTTTCTTTTTTTCCTTTTTTGTTTTGTTTCGTTTAGTTTAGCTATCATTTTGTTAAAATGTAAATCGCAATCCTTCCTTGGATTTTTACCTGTCTTAGGACTATTTAAATGGGGGGTTAGGGGGCTATTTAAATCACCCTTTGTGATAACACTGGTCAGTTCAGGCCCCAGCTGCCAGCCATTAGTCTCTCATCCCCACTCACTTCTCCTATAGTCTGTATTTTTCACGACTGAAATATGTCATAATTTTAAAAATTTGTATGCCAAACACTTCTGCTCATCAAAAGACTTCACCAAAAGAGTAAAAAGAGAACATACAGACTGGTAAAAAAAAAAAATTTGGTTATAACATATCCGTCAAGGGTCTAATTTCTAAAATCTACAAAATACTTCAACACATCAACAACAAAAAGACAAATAATCCCTTTAAAAAATCTGCAAAGGATATGAACAGCAACTTCACCAAAGAAGACATTCAGGTGGCTAACAGACACATGAAGAAATGTTCGCGATCACTAGCCATTAGAGAAATGCAAATTAAAACTGCAATGAGATACCATCTCACACTAACATTACTCGTACTAATCTAAAAAACTGAAAATAATAAATATTGGAGAGGTTGTGGAGAGATTGAAACTCTTATGCACTGCTAGTGGGAATGCAAAATGGTACAACCATTATGGAAAACGATATGGCGCTTCCTTAAAAAACTAGAAATAGAAATACCATATGATCAAGCAGTCCCACTCCTAGCAATATATCCTAGCGAAATAGGAACCATCACACAGACATATGCACACCCATGTTCATTGCAGCACTATTCACAATAGCAAAAAGATGGAAACAACCTAACTGCCCATCGGTGGATGAATGGCTAAACAAATTATGAACAAATTATGGTACATACACACAAGGAATACTACGCAACGATAAAGAACAATGACAAATCCAGGAAACATCTTACAACATGGATGAATGTGGAGGGCATTATGCTGAGTGAAATAAAAAGCCAAACCCATTGCCATCGAGGCAATTCTGACCTATAGCAACCTTACAGGACAGAGTAGAACTGCCCCATAGGGTTTCCAAGGAGCGGATGGTGGATTTGAACTGCTGTCCTTTTGGTTAGCAGCCATATCACTTTAGTCAATCACAAAGGGACAAATACTGTATGAAACCAGTATTATAAAAACTCAAGAAAAGATTTACACGCAGAAAAAAACACAATCTTTGATGGTTGAGAGGGTGAGGAGGGAGGGGAAGGGCAAGTCGCTAACTAGATACTAGACAAGTGTCAACTTTGGTGAAGGGAAAGACAACACACAATATAGAGTAAGTCAGCACAGCTTGACCAAGGCAAAGTCATAGAAGTTTGCTAGACACATCCAGATACCTTGAGGGAGTGAGTTACTGGGGCTGGGACAGGGAACCATAGTCTTGGGGGACATCTAGGTCAATTGGCATAACATTGTTCATAAAAACTGTTTTACATCCTACTTTGGTGGGTAGCATCTGGGGTCCTAAAAGCTTGCGAGGGCCATCTAAGATACATATGTTGGTCCCATCCCATCCAGAGCAAAGGAGAATGAAGAAAACCAAAGACACAAGGAAAATATTAGCCCACAGGACTAAAGGACCATATGAACCGTAGCCTCTACCAGCCTGAGCCCTGAAGAAATAGATGGTGTCCAGCTACCACCACCCACAGCTCTGACAGAGATCACAATAGAGAGTCCCAGACAGAGCGGAATAAAAATGTAGAACAAAATTCAGATTCACAAAAAAAGGCCAGACTACTGGTCTGACAGAGACTGGAAGAACCCCCAAGACTGTGGCACCCAGACACCCTGCTAATTCAGAACTGAAGCCACTCTGGAAACCCACTTTTCGGACAAAGATTAGACAGGCCTATAAAACAACAACACATGTGAGGAATGTGCCTCTTAGTTCAGTCAAGTATACGAGACCAAATGGGCAACTCCTGCCCAAAAGCAAGACGAGAAAGCAGGAAGGGGCAAGAACACTGGACAAGTGGACACAGGAAACCCAGGTGGATTGGGCAAGAGTGCTATCACATTGCAGGAATTGCAGCTGATGTCAGAAAACAATATGTGTATAAAGTTTTGATTGAGAAAGTAACTTGAGCTGTAAACTTTCACCTAAAGCACAATAAAATGTTTAAAAAATTTTTTTTGTATGCCCAAAGATAGATTTAAGAATCTCTTTTCTTAAATAATGATATTTAAGGATATCATTTACTCATTGAAAGAAACTGGGAAATATGACCCATACTGAGGAGAAAAATCAACCAAAACCAACTAGAACTGACACAGATGTTAGAATTAGTAAAAAAAAAAAAAAAAAACTAAAACAATTATTATAACTATATTCTGTATTTTCAAAAAGTTATGTACAAGCATGGAAGACATTTAAGAAGAGTGAAATCAAACTTCTAACATTAAAACTACAATGTATGAGATGGAATGTATACTGTATGGGATTAATAACAGGTTAGACATTAGAGAAAAACAAGATGATGAACTTGAATACATAGCAATAGAAACTGCAAAATGAAATACAGAGAGAATTGGAAAGAAAAAAAAAAAGCATCAAGGAGTTGTAGACTTCGTATAGCCTAATGCACATGTAATTGAAGTCCCTGAATAAGACATAGTGGAGGGGAAGGGTTAGAAAAGTTACTTAAAGAAATAATGGCCAAATTTAATGAAAACTATAAACCCACAGCTCTCCAAAGCCCAAATTAAACCACAAGCACAAAAAACATGAAGAGAACAACACCAAAGCAGATTATAATCAAATTGCTCAAAACCAGTGATTAACAGAAAATTATGTAAAGCAACCAGAGAAAAAGGCACTTTAAGTACAGATGAACAAAGATGACAACAGATCTGTTGTCAAAAACAATGCAAGCAAGAAAGCAGTAGAGCAGCATCCTGAAAGAAAAAAAAAATGTTAACCTAAAATGCTATACTGTACTCAGAAAAGAATATTTTTCAAAAGCAAAGGCAAAAGAATTCACACCAGTGTGTTCACACTACAAGAATCCCAATTCTATACAAACTTCTAATTGAAACTGAAGGAATACTTGCCATGTCATTTTACAAGGCCACCATTACCTTGATACCAAAACCTACAAAGACATTACAACAAAAGAAAACTCAGACCAATATCCTTAACGGACATTGATGCAAAAATTCCAAATAAAACTTTAGGAATTTGAATATAGCAATTTATGAAAAGGATAATACATCAGGACCAAGTAGTGCTTAGCCAGGAATGCAAGGTTGGTTTAACATTCAAAAATCAATCAGTGTAACTCACCATTATTAATAAAATAAAAAAATGAAATCCAACCTCTATGAAAACCTTTGGATCACAACATAAGATTGTCCTGTTCACTTGCTTTGGACACGTCATCAGTAGGGATAAATCATTAGAGGAGGTCATCATGTTTGGTGAAGTAGACGGCCAGCAAGGGCATGGTTAGGCATGGGCCCGTGGTGAGATGGATTGGCACAGTAGCTGCAACAATGGACTTGAACATGCTGACAGTTGTGAGGATGACCCAGGACCAGGCATTGTTTCATTTTGTCATAAAGTCATAAGGTCGCTAATGAGTTGGAGTCTACTCAGTGGCAGCTAACAACAACACTCCTTTTAAAAACTAAGTGTAGTAGGAAAAGAAGGTATTTTTTTCTACTAAAAAACAGCAGCTAACATCATACTTATTGATGGAAGCCTGAATATTTTCCCCTGTAGATTGGGAACAATACAAGGAGACTCGCTCCTACTACTTTTATTCAACACTGTACTGAAGGTTGTAGCCAGTGTAATAAGACAATAAAAAAAAAAGACATTCAGATTGTAAAGGAAGGATTATAATTGCCTTTATTTGCAGATGACATGAATGCCTATGTAGAAAATCCAATAAAATCTACCTAAAAGCTGCTGAATTAATAAGTAAATTCAGCAAATTTGCAGGTTACAAAAATATATATATATATACAACAAGCAATTATATTTTTATATATTAGCAACAAACAATTAGAAACTGAAATTTAAATTACATTATTTATAATGGCATCAGAAATATGAAGCACTTGGGGGCAAATCTGACAACATATGAAGCAGTTGTGCCCTCAAAACTATAAAACATTACCAAGAGAACTAAATAAATGTAGAGACATACCATGTTCATAGGCATAAAACTCAACTTTTGTTTTGATACCAGTTTTCCCTAAACTGATCTGTTGATTCAATGCTGTGTCAATCACATTCCATTAGACTTTTTTGGTAGAATTAACAAACTGATTCTAAAATTTATTATGGAAATGCTAAGGAACTAGAATAGATTAAACAACTTTGGTAAAGAACAAAGTTGGAAAAGTAACTTCCTGATTTCAAGACTTTATGTAAAACTACCATAATTAAGAATGTGGCATCAGGATTGGTAGAAGACTCATTAACAACCTGCAATATGCAGATGGCACAGCCTTGCTTGCTGAAAGTGAAGAAGACTTGAAGTAATTACCGATGAAGATCAAAGAGGACACCTTTCAGTATGGATTACACCTCTATATAAAGAAAATGGAAACCCTGGTAGGCTAG